ACGACGGCTCTGTGAAGCCCAGAACAGAGCTTTCCTGTGTGTTACCCCTCATTCACCGCACTGGAGGCCTGACTCCAGGCTGGTCTCTGTGTCTTCTATTCCCCTTCAGTGTAAGAGCGTGGCTTTCTTCTCCTTCAACTTTACAGTTAACTGTCTTCCCTACCTGACTTACAGCAGTTAGCCCAGTCCCCACCTGTGCCTCTCTCTCCCTTAGATGTCAGACAGGATCCCCTCATAGAATAGCCAAATAAGAAACTAGATTAAGAATAGCTATGACCTGTATTCATTATCAATCCAGGGCAAGGGGCAGACCTATCCAGGCCTCCTATGAATGACCTGAATCCCAGGGAAGGCTTGCACCGAGAGTTCCTTCCCAGCGCATCAGTGGATCAGACTCACAGGCCCTTGGGTGTCAGAAGACCTGGATCCATCTTAGTATGAACTGACTGGCATTGGCGCCTCTGTTTCACTCATGGGACAGATCTTCCTGCCAAAACCATCCCAAAGTCTCCAGTTAGCATAGGTCCCAGCCCTAGCCCAGCTCCCATCCTTAAATCTCCCTCAACAGCGGACTGTGGTGGAAATCATAGCTGTGTGCCTCTATTTATTCCCTGAACTGTACTGTAAAACAAGTGTTTTTAGGAATAAACCAGCCACCACAACTGCCTGCACTTCGTGTTCATGACTTTCAGGACTTGGGCTCATGGGTTTGCTGTTTGTGGGAACTAAACAGAGAGGTGCTTGGAGCTAACACTGAACACTTTACTGCATGACATCACCTGTTTCTCAGAACCCCTGTGGTGAGCTGGCAAGAGGCCAGCCAGAGTGTTTGCTGTGCAAGCACAAGGATCTGAGTCTGATCCTCAGCACTCATGTGAAAATGTAGGCATGGTCGTGCATGCCTTTACTCCCAGGTCTAGGGATTCAAAGAAAGTATCTCTTGGGCGGACTGTCCAGCCAGCCTAGCCTAATTAGCAGGCCCAGGAACCAAAATGGACAACTTCTGAGGAACACAGAAGGTTGACCTATGGCTACACACACACTTCTGTGGAGTAGAAGACACGAGTTTTTTTAAACCAGCAGGATCAAGTTGTCCAGGCTAATAATTGGCAGGGCTGGATGGGGTTTCTCTGTCCTGCCCCTTCTGGTCTCACCTCCCTTCCACTGGATTGAGCATCAGTATATACAAGCCCCAAGACCTGCTGGGTGACCTCAAACAAGTCAACTGCTACCCACGTTTCCCTTTTCTGTGCCCAGTAGTAAAACACTCCTATCATGCTTACTCATTTATTTACAGTTCTTACCTCTGACTCCCCCATAGCACTGGGAGAAAGGTGTTTTACAGCTGACACTCGGGGAAATCGGAGGCTACCTCAAGGCCCCACAGACACCAACGGGTCCCAAAACTTAAACTCGGGGCTGTTCAGGAAGGTGGCTGTAAAAGAAGCCCAGGAGCCAGCTTGTGGTTTTGAGTCCCCAGCACTCACATGAGAAGCCAGCTGTAGTGGTTCATGCCTGTAACCCCAGTGCTGGAGAATAAAAGCACACAGACCCCAGATACTTGCCGCCAGCTAGTCTGACCAAAATGACAAACTCCAGGTTCAGTGACAGACCGTGTCTGAAAAATTAAAGTGGAGAGCGACAGAGGCCTCCCTGTCAGGGTGATCACATTGCCTGCATGAGCGATTGCACATATGCACACACACACAAAATTAAGCTTTCCTAGGCTACCGCTCTAATAGTGGGTGGTTTACTGGGAATTAATAAGGCTTCTCTCAGTGGTGAGAAAAATCTGAAGCTTCAGGCTCCACTGCCCTTAGGAAGGTCCTTGGCATCTGGCCAGGAAGTCTGCATAGGCATCAAGTGTCACTTGTTATATTTTATTATAGTAACAGAGTGATCTGTTTCAGTAAGGAAAGTAGAGTGCCTCCAGACAAGGCATTGTCCTATCTCAGTCCAAGTCCCTAAGATTCATACCTGGGCTGGTCAGAAGTCATCTAGAGTGCAGGCCAGGTGTCTATCCACCAGGTGTCATCATTTCCTAATGACAAGGCACTGAGTTGTCTTGGTCACTCAGTGGTGGGGATTAAACCTAGAGACAAGACTAGTCAACTGCTAAGACATGTGAGTTCGAAAGGGCATTGTGGCTGGAAAGCCTCTTGGAGGCCTTTCAAAACCAAGGGACACATTCTGATCAGGTTTCCTATGCAGCTGCTTCCTCTGGAAGAACTCAGACTGTGAATAGTTAGGGCCAAACCTGACTTTCCAGCCATGCCATGCACAATTAAGATTTCTAATTTCAACCAGGCAGTGATGGCACATACCTTTAATCCGGCACTCAGGAGGGAGAGGCAGGCAGAAGTCCATGAGTTCAAGGCCAGCATAGTCTACAGAGTGAGTTCCAGGACAGACAGGGCTGTTACACAGAGAAACTCTGTGTGCATGTCATTGGGGGTTCTAGCTTCAAGTCAAAAGTAATGGTCCCTTCAGTAACCAGTTTCCTTGGTTTCCAGCTGCACTCCCTACCCTTTTGCTAGGTTCCCTGGTTCACCCACCTTAGGGCAAAAGAAAGTTCCCACAGAAGAGACAAGCAAGAAATTGTCCCTGGTAGAGGGTCCCTAGAGTCTCTGTGTAAACTGTATATGTGAGAAGCCACAGGCTGTGAAAAGAGGAACTGAATACTGCCATGAGTTTATGGGAAAGGAGCCCTTTGGTGGTAGAGCAGCAATGGCCCCCATAGCCTCATATATTTAAATGTTTAGAGAATGGCCCTACTTGAAATAATTAGGGGGTATGGCCTTATTGGAGGTGTGTCACTGGGGGTGGGCTTTGAGACTTTCAAAAGTCCTAGCTGTAATGATCTGTCCTGTCCCTTTAAGGGACAAGCCACACTCCCCCATCCCCACCCCACCCTCGTCCACCAAGGCAAGCTGATCCTCAGCTTCCAGCCTGAGTCCCATCCTTTTCTGTCTCTCCCACAAAGAGGCAGCTTCTGTCTCTCCCCACTTCTCCCCTTCCCCTTTCTCTGTTTCTTTCTCTCTCTCACTGCTCTTCTCCTTTTCCCCTTTCTCTTCCGTAACCCACTAAATAAATGTCCAACCTCTCTCTGCATGGCGTGCCTATCCATCTGTCTTTCGCCTGCCACACGGCTCCCTGCCTGGACCAGTTGCCTTCAGAGACCTGTGGTGTGGTGTGCCCACAGGTCTCATGACATGCCCACCTGTCCGTCTCTCCTCGTGAGACTGGCTGCCCCAGTGAGGTCTCTTACCCACCATGCGGCTCCCTTCTTGAGACTCATGGCCCACTGCAGCCACTCAGGGAACTATGCCATCCCTGCCTGGGACTGGCTGGCTGCTCTCAGGACCTGCTGCCCGCTGCCGCCACTTGGAGACCTGCAGCATTTCTGCCACTGCAGCCACTCAGGGATCTGCAGCATTTTTACTTAATCCATTACAATACCAGGCCCAGTGGCTTTCTCTCCCTGGCCCGTGAATCCAGATATAGAACTCTCAGCTACTTCTCCAGCACCATGTAACTGAAACTGCAAGCCCCAATTAAATGCTTTTTCTTAAGAGTTGCCGTGGTCATAGGGTCTCTTCACAGCAATAGAAGTCTAAGACAAGTTGGTTCCAGGAGAGGGGTATTGCTCTGACAGGCCTACTCATGCTTCTTGATGGCAGAATGTGGACTTTGGATAGGAAAGTAGTTGAACACATGAAGTGGGGCTTAATGGGCCATCCTAATAGGAAGACAGTGGTGCTGGAAGCAATGTAGACCATGACCACCGGCTCAAGAGGTTTCAGAGGAGAATAATGTTAGTAAGCAGCCTAGAAACTGTTCTTGTGATACTTTGTTGAAAAAATGTGGCTGCTTTTGGTCCTTGCCTAAAAAAAAAATCTGCCTAAGGCTAAATTGAAGAGTTTTCCATTAATGACATTGGCAAAGGAGATTTCAAGACAGCTTAGTATTGACTGTGTCATGTCTTTTTTTTTTATTTGTTTGTTTGTTTTTCTTTTTCATTCATCTTTTGGTTTTTAAGACAGGATTTCTCTGCAGCTTTGGAGCCTGTCCTGAAGCTAGCTCTTGTAGAACTCACAGAGATCCGCCTGCCTCTGCCTCCCAAGTGCTGGGATTAAAGGTTTGTGCTACCACTGCCTGGCTAGTGGCCAGTCTTATACAGATCTAAGAAAGGGGCAAGCTGAGCAAGATAAAATATAAAATGTACAGGTTGAGGTTAAAAAAGTGCATCAGGAAGTGTAATGGAGTTCAGTCCAGGACTCAAGGAGATAAAAAGTTTAAAGAAAATCCTGATGTTCATTGGAAGGAGTGGTGACCTCAGGGCAAGACCCCACCCTGCTAAATTTCTAACTCTAAAACATAATTAAGGAAAGCTATGCAGTGGATTCAGGAAACCATCGAAAACCAGAAAGCTAATGAGAATGTATTTGAATGAGGGGTCAGGCTCCAACCCCATCAAGCAGTAGAACTTGGCAATTTCAGTCATGTGGTTCCAATTTTAGAGTCAAGGATACAAGAACGTATTGTAGAATTTCCCTCCACATCTAAGGAAAGCCACTAGGGCCAGACTCATATCAAGAGTGTTCCTGAATGGAGGCCTAGAGAGGCCATATCTGAAGATGTGAAGGTGAAGCCCGGATTGCCTCGGAGGCTCCAAGATGCTGGAGATGCCAGAGCAATGAGATACCTGCCAAGAAAAACTGCTAACAGGGAATGGAACCAGCCCAAGAGAGAGAAGCGTGTTACTGTCAAGAAAGTTGAACGAAGCTAGAGATCTGAAGCATGCTTTGACACCAGACCTGGAGATACAGTTTGGAGTCTGCCCGCTTGGTTTTGGATTTGCTTTGGCCCAGTATTTTCTCACTATGCTCCCCTTCCACCCTTCCCGAATGGTAGTGAATATTCTGTGCCATCATATGTGATCTGCTCTTTGATTTTACAGTGGGTTATAGTTACGAGATTGCATGAATTTCAGAAGAGACTTGAACTTTGGACTTTTAATTAGTCATGAGACTGTGATAGATTATGGGAACTTTTGAAGTTAGAATAAATGCATTTGCATTATAATATGGCTATAAGCCCACGGGGGGGGGCAGGGAGTGGAATGTGGTGGTTTGAATAAAAATGCCCCCCCATACATGTAAATGTTTAGGGAATGGCACTATCTGAAAGGTTTAGAAGGTGTGGCCTTATTGGAAGAAGTGTGTCACTGGAGGTGGCTTTGAGGTTTTCAAAAGCCCAAGCAAGGCCTAGTGACTTTCTCTTCCTCCTGCCTGCAAATCTAGATGTAGAACTCTCAACTACTTCTCCAGCACCGTGTCTGCCTGCACGCTGCCCTGTTGCCCGTCACGATGATAAACGGTAACGCAGCCCAATTAAATGCTTCCCTTTATAAGCATCACGAGAGTCAGGGTGTCTCCTCACAGTAACAGAACACTGACTAATATATGCCCTAATTCCTAATGCCCTGTTCCTCTTCAGGCTACGGGAACAGACGTCCCCGACAGCTCAGGCCAGGTGTCTCCTGCTTGTCATCAGAGCCAGCCATGGTTGCTGAAATCCAAGCGCAGGGCCTCCTCCTCAGTGGGACTCAGCTCCTGCAAGGGGGCACGACAGGGACCTCCATAGTAGCCAAACCAGTCCATGGTTTTCTTCAGCCCTGGAATCCCGAAGCGCCGAGTCACCTGAGAAGAAACATTTGTTAGAAGAGACTGAAGAGCCCCCACATCTCTGACACGCCTTGCTGGACTTTGACATCTGTTGCTTCCTAAAGTTGGGGTTCCCACCTCCCATAAGGAACTCCAATCTGTGGTGTGGGTTGCACTGAGAATCCAGAAGTGGGTCAGTTATGGAGAGACTCATCTGAATAAGAAGGTTCCCTTTGGGGTTTTGGGAGAAAAACTACTTCAACAAAAGGGGCATCTAGATAGAATAGAAAGAAGGCTGGCGCAGAAGGCAGCAAGGCTGGGTCCCTGCAGCACAGCAGACCTGGTAAATAAGGAAGGAGATGGCTTCGTGAAAGCCGTGGGCAGAGCCCAGATCCTGAGTCCCCAGCATCAGGGTGGTTTGTCGCATAACTACACTATTTATTACCTGAGCAACATTTTTTCCCTAGGAAAATGAAGGGGCTAAGCAACATGATCTCTAAAGACTTGTGTATCACAGTGGGCCACCTACAGCCATGTCACAGTTCAAGATCATACAGGGAATTTTACAGAATAAATGAAGGATCCAGTTTCTTCCCTTTTTGTTAAAGCAACTGATCAGAAATATTGGAATGCATCTTTGATGATCTAAAAACTTAATAAAGCTCCATGGGGGCAGGGGAGATCTTTAGCGGTACGAGTTTTGTGAAGGTTAGAAGCAATGAGGCATTTGATGGAAAAAGGCTGGGGTGGATGTTGGATAACTGGCTTACAACTATCGGCCACTAGAGGCCAGCCGTCACCAGCAAACTGATGTTTTCCCCATATCTTAAAGGAAAAAACACAATATCTCAACAGCCTGGCTTTTAAAACTCGCAAGCTTTGTAGTTGGCTAAAACCTCCAGAAGATGGAACCATGTTCCTACCATGGATTTCTGAAGATAGCCGGTGTGCCTTCTCAACCCTGGAGAAAGGGCTAGCTCTTTGGGCGACAAAGACCTCAGAAAGTCCTAAATATAGCCTGGGGTAAGATGCTGGGTGGGGAGGCAGAAGAAGGACATGCCTTGGACAGAACAGGGCAATAAAGTGACCTCAGGCTGCTGTTGGAGCATCTGAGCCTACAGCTCAGGCAGCAGCAAAAAGTGTTCCAGGCATTCCTGAGTGTGTGCCCAGGGCTGGCACAAGAAGGGGCAGGATGGGGTGAGATGACCTCGGAGAGCTTTGATGGCAGCTGAGCATCCCATCTTCCCAGGGGGGCAGCCAACACCACTTCCTCTGTAAAGTGAGATGACACCTACCCATAGACATGACTTAGACATCAGATGACAAAACATCATTAAAATCACAGCATTCCCCAAGCCCGCTAGAGGCGCCACCTCCTCCTGTCCTGGCATTAGCAGGTGTGCGACCCTTCTCTGATGTGGGTAGATGGAAAAGAGACAAGCAGGCCTCCACCCCAGGGGAATGGCCAGAGTGTTGGGGGCAGCCCGGTCCTGCTTAACTAGAAGGCTTCATTTCTGCAAGTTCTCAGAACCTATTGACAGAGTCACTCTGAGGGATACAGATAGCTTGGATAGCAAAAGCCTAAGGAAGATGGGCCTAGTAGCACAGGCCCATCATATCAGCTACAGGGGGCTGAGGCAGGAGGATCACAACTTCATAGCCTGCCTGGGTTATAGAGAAATTTCAATGGCAGCCTGGGCAATGTTTTATTTGTTGATTTGATTTTGTTCCTAGAAACAGATTTAGGGGGGATAAGTCTTAATGAATTTGTTCTCATTAAAGCCAGGAAAGTAAAATTATAACAAATTGTTTAAGTATATATAAGATATTCAAACCTAAAGCAAGTAATGCTCTCAGTTTTATATAACCACTTTGCTCATATTATTTTCAACGACTTGAATGGGAAGGGTCACAACTTGGGAAATCACTTAAAACTTCTACATTCGAGAAGATAGAGACAGTTGTGCTCATTCTTCCCAACTGATGAACACTCTGGACATCACAGAAAACGGGTAGTGAATCTGGGCTGTGTGGGATATGCGTCTTTAATCTCAGCACTTGGGAGGCAGAGGCAGGTGGAAGAGTTGTAGGCCAGCCTGGTCTATACAGCAAATTCCAGGCCAGTCAGAGCTACACAGTGAGGCACTGTCTCAAAAAACAGATAAGAAAACTCCAGAAGATGGACTGAAGAGGGAGGGTCAACCAGGGACCTAGAGCACCACAGATCAGCACAATGGTGAGGCCACTGGTTCAGACTTGGAACTGAATCAACCACAAAATATCAGGGGGCACAACTAATAAAATTTCCAACAGGAGCTGGGGAGCTGGTTCAGTGGGCAAAGCACAGGCCAGGCAAGCCTAATGACTGAGTAATTGATCCCTGGAACCCACATAAAGGTAGAAGAGAGCCAACTCCACAAAGCTGTCTTCTGATTTTCGCATGAGCACTGGGGCATCCATGTGCAATCCCCAATAATAACAAAAAGTTTTAAAATAAAAGTTCCAACAAGGAGGGCTGAAGAGATGGTTCAGCAGTTAAGAACACTGGCTGCTCTTCTAGAGGACCTAAGTTCAATTCCCAGCACCCACTTGGAGGCTCACAACCATCTATGACTGTAGTCCAATGAACCCATTAAATCATTATGACCACATGGTTTCAACTGGAGAATTCCACAAAATGTTTGAAGAAGATTTAGTATCAATTCTTTTTTTAAAAAGATTTTTTTAAAAAAATTTATGATTTATTTATTTTTATTTTATGTGCATTGGTGTGAAGGTGTCAGATCCCCAGGAACTGGATTTTCAGACAGTTGTGAGCTGCCATGTGGGTGCTGGGAATTGAACCCAGGTCCTCTGGAAGAGCAGTCAGTGCTCTTAACCACTGAGTCATTTCTCCAGCCCCTAGTATCAATTCTATACCATCTCTATTAAGAAAAAGAAAAATACCTTCTAGTTAATTTGATGACGTTAAACCAGACTCATTGGGGAATGAAGGACAGAGGGAAGGGAGGAAGAGGAGAAGGAGGGGGGAGGAGAGAGAGAGAAAGGAAGGAGAAAAAATAGACCATTATTCCTTATGAATATAAGCATAAAAATTCTTATCAAAATATCACTAAATGAAATTTCAGCAACATACCAAAATAAATACATACTATGATTAAATGAGGTTTGTTCCAGGGATATACATCTATGTCAATATTTGAAAAGTGATTAGCCTGGCACATGCCTTTAATCCCAGCACTCGGAAGGTAGAAAGCAGGCAGATCTCTATGAGTTCGAGGCCAGCCTGGTCTGCATAGTAAGTTCCAGGAGAGAAGGACTGTGTAGAGAGACTCTGTCTCAAAACAAAACAACAAAAAAGTGATTTGGGAGCTGAAGAGATGGCTCAGCAGTCAAGAGCATGTGCTATTCTCTCATGTGCAGAGGACCCAGGTTCAGTTTCTGGCACCCACATGGGTAGCACACAACCATCTGTAACTTCAGTTGACCTCCATGGTCACCGGATATGCCTATGGTGTACATACATACATGTAAGCAAAATCCTACACACATAAAATAAAAAATAAATCTTTTTTTAACTGATAATAACATCCATCATGTTAACAGGCTACAGAACAGGGACATAATCATAAAAGTCAATATGATAAATATTTGACAAAATTCAGCACTTATTTATGAGTTGTAAAAGTTCATAGAAAAGGAGTTGGAGAGATGGCTCAGAGGTTAAGAGCACTGGCTACTTGGTACAGGAGGTTCTTCTGTCTATGTGTTGCTTTCATTGATTGAATAAAGAAACTGCCTTGGCCTTTTGATAGGGCAGCACTTAGGTAGGTGGAGTAGACAGAACTGAATGCTAGGAAGAAGGGCAGACAGAGAGCCGCCATGGAACTCTCAGGTCAGACATGCTGAATCCTTCCCCGTAAACCACGACCTCGTGGTGACACACAGATTATTGCAAGTGGGTTGAATCAAGATGTGAGAGTTAGCCAATAAGAGGCTAGAACTAATGGGCCAGGCAGTGTTTAAATGAATACAGTTTCTGTGTGATTATTTCAGGTGTAAGCTAGCTGGACAGGATGAACAAAGGGCCTGCGATCCTGTTACTGCTACTCTTCCAGAGGACCTGGCTTTAATTCCCAGCAACCACATGGTGGCTCACAACTGTCTGTAACTCCAGTTCCAGAGTATCTGACACCTTTATACCAAAGTACATAAAAAATAAAATTAAATAAATTATTTAAAAATTCATAGAAAACCAGGAATAGAGAGTAGTATGCTCAATTGATAAAAAGCATCTACAACCACCCAGGAGAAGTGTTACACTTGTGGTGAAAGACTAAATGCTTTCTCTTTAAGATCAGGAGCCAGGAATTTTATCCAACCTAGTACAGGAAGTCCTAGTCAATGCAGAAATGTAAGAAAGCAAATGAAAGGCAGAAATAGAAATGGACACAATGAACTCCCCTTGGTGTAGATGATATGATGGTCTATGTAGAGAATCCCAAGGCATCTATGAACAACACACCCCTCCTAGAAGTACTGAATGGGTTCAGCAAAGATACAGGATGTAAGAGAAAAATTTATAAATCAGTTGTAGGGCTGGATGGTGGTGGTGCACACCTTTAATCCCAGCACTCAGGAGGCAGAGGCAGATGAATCTCTGTGAGTTTGAGGCCAGCCTAGGGTAGAGAGTGAATTTCAGGATAGGCTCCAAAGTTACACAGAGAAATCCTGTCTCGAAAAACAAAACAAAACCAACAACAACAACAAAAATTTGTTGTAGGGTTGGGAATTAGCTCTGATATGGCAATTTCCCTAGCATGCTTGAGACCCTGGTTTTCATTCTCATCACATACACATATACACACATAGATAAATAGATAGAAATATAATACATAGATAGATAGATGGAGAGAGAAGTGCGTTTCTAAATATTAGCATACTAGCAAACAATATATAGATAGTAAAGTTTTTTGTTTGTTTGTTTGGTTTTTGGTTTTTCAAGACAGGGTTTCTCAGTAGCTTTGGGAACCTGTCCTGGAACTAACTCTGTAGACCAGGCTGGCCTAGAACTCACAGAGATCCATCTGCCTCTGCCTCCTGAGTGCTGAGATTAATGGCATGTGCGGCATACAGTGAAGTTAAAATACTACTTTCACTTGCCCAGAAAAGCATGAAGTAGCTGGGTGTGGTGATGCATGCCTTTACCCCAGCACTTGGGAGGCAAAAATAGGCAGATCCTGTGCATTCTAGACCAACCATAGATAGAACTATGAATAGAACTTCTTTGAAGAAAACTACAATACTGAATAAACAAAGAAGATCCAAATAAGTAGAGAATATGTCATGTTTAGTGACTGAACAATGGCCAGGAAGTGGTGGCACAGGCCTTTAATCCCAGCACTTGGGAGGCAGAGATAGGCAGTTCTCCATGAATTCAAGAAAGAGAGAAAGGTGGCACGGGGAAGATGTTACCATCCCAGACTGGTCTACAGGTTAACAATTCCTAGTAAAAAAATTTTTGTAACTATAGACAAGATTATTCTAAAATTAATATAGAAAGACAAGGAATCAATTACCTCAAGCAGTTTTAAGGAAGCTAAAAGAACCAAACAGGAGGAAGCAGCCAATTACAAGACTTATTTAAACCCTTATGCTGCAGCTAACAATCCAGTCTGTGGCACAGGGGAAGTGTAGATACACAGATCAATGGAGAGGCTAGAGAACCCAGAAATAGACTCTCACAAACCTGCCCCACTGACTTTTGACAAAGGCAGAGAGGCAGCTCAACAGAGGAAAGAAAGCTTTCTCAACAAATGGTTTTGGATATCCATAGGCAAAAAAAAAAAAAAAAAAAAAAAAAAGGAACCTTGACCAAAGTCTCAGACTTTAAACAAAAATTAACTCAAAATGGGTCACAAACTTTTACAATGTAACTATTAAACTTTCAGGAAACAAATGCTGAACAAAGACTTCTTAGACTTGACATTAATATATGATTCAAGAAAGAACATATTGACAAATTTGACTTCGACAAAATCTTAATTTTTCCCCCAAATTTAAAATTTGATTAATCAAAAACATGTAAAGAATATGAGAAAAATAAGCTACAGATAAAAGCACACATCTAACAAAGGACTAGTGTGTAGTTCTTCTAAACTTAACATATAAGAAAGACATTCACTTAGAAAATGGGCAAGATGCTGGGTGGTGGTGGTGCACAACTTTAATCCCAGTGAGGCAGGGAGGGGAGCAGAGAAAAATGTAGAGCTCAATAAATATCAATAAAAATGAAAAAAAAACAAAACAAGAAACAAACAAAAACAAGCCGGGTGGTGGTGGCACACACTTTTAATCCCAGTACTCAGGAGGCAGAGGCAGGAGGATCTCTGTGAGTTTGAGCCCAGCCTGGTCTATAAGAGCTAATTTCAAGACAGGCACCAAAGCTACAGAGAAACTTTGTCTCAAAAAAACAAAAACAAACAACAAACAAACAAAACAAAAACAAAAAAGAAAAGAAAAGAAAATGGGCAAAATGCCAGGTATGGTGGTGCATGATTTTGATACCAATACTGGGAGGCAGAGACAGACAGATCTCTGTGAGCTTGAAACCAGTCTGGTCTACAAAGTGACTTCTAGGACAGAGAAACACAGAAAAACCGAGTCTCAAACAAAACAAAACAAACAAACAAACAAAAAACTTAAAAAAGAGAGAAGAGAAAGAAAAAAAAAGGAAAGGAAAAAGAAAATGGACAAGCAACCAGTCTGCAGGACTACAGGCAGATAGCAAAGCACATGATGTCTGGTTTGCGTGAGACTTGGGCACAGTTTCCAGCACCAGAAAGAAGAAAGAAAATGAACACAGGACATAAGGACATAAACAAATATTTGAGAGACAAGGCTGTGACAAGCAAATGTATCAAAAGATGCTCAGTATCCTCAGCTCCCAGAAACACGCTACTTCCCAGCTCTCCAAACCGCCCAAATAAGACAGCACATGTGCTGATGAGGATGCAGAGGTACAAACACATTTACATTAGTGCAGATGCAAAACTAGGACAGTCCCAGCTACTCAGGAGGCTGAGGCAGGAGGATTTCAAGAGCTCAAATCCAGCCTTGGCAACACAGTAAGGCTCTCTTTCAAAATAAGTAAAATAAGGATATACTTTTTTTTTTTTTTTTAGTTTTCTTCAGATTTCAAAATAGTTTTGATCTTGACCAACATTCCTCGCTAAGTTCTCCTTGACCTGCCCCCAAAAGAATTGGATAAGTCTGACCTGCAGAGCACATTGTTCTAACAGCTCTCCTGGAAAACCAAAATATCTCCGGTTCTCTGCTTCCATGGTCTCTCTGTTTGTCGCTATCGGTACCCTGTGTGGTTGCTGTAAAGCCATGGCGCGCTGTCTCTACGCTCTGAACCTCTAGGTATAGTCCCAGTGTCACTGACATTGCCCTCACTCAGGACGTTCGTTTCCATGCATGTTCAAAGGGTTGGACATTTAACTAGCCCACATGGAAATTTAACTAGCCCAGTGAACGCTGAAGCTTGAGAACCTATGGGGTTCATTCTCTGCAATCGGGGTTTCCTGGGGAGTCGGTAGCAGATCCCACACTGGGACATTCTCTATATGGACAGTTTGAAAGGGAAGGATTGAGCAGGGACCCCGTGCCAGTCCAGGGTGGGAGCTCACCGCTGTGTTGGGCTCGATGAGACGGTGCTGCAGCATCTGGGCGGCTTCCCACTGTCCCGTGAGGCAGAGTCTCTCCAGCTGGCATACCTGGGCCCCTAAGACATTGGCCAGGCCGCAAATGCTCCCAACAGCTCCTGCCCGAAGGAGACAAAACATTCATCTGAGCCACTTACTACAGAGAAACCCAAACTCTGAGCTCCGAACCTTTTCATAATTGGGAACACGGGATGTAGATTTCTGTAGTCTTTGGGCCATGCCACAGTCATGGTCTGTGTGTCCAGTTATGTACTTCCAGAGGCAAAGGCTGCCTGTATGTTCCAAACAAGAAGCCTGCATGCCAGTTGCTGCTCAGAGCCAGTGGTGGAGCAGGGAACACGGCCTTCAGGGAAGCCCCTTCACCTACCTTATACCTACCATGCTCCTCCAACAGGATCTTGACACCTTAGGGGCTAGGGAAATAGGAACTAAGTTCTGAAATCTTATTCCTTCAGTTAACTGGGCCACTAACTGGTCAGGAGTGGGAAAGCAGCCTGGATTTGGGGCCAGGAGTCTGGGTGTTTCCTCCCCTTGGCTTCAGGATGTGAAATTCAGCCTTTGAGTGTGATTCTAAGATGAGGTAGCAGTGGTTTAAGACAGGAAGAAAGATACCTACTATAGGGTCAGGGCGATGGCTCAATGGTAAGACTGATGACCCAAGTTCAATCCCTAGGACTTACATGACAGGAGAGAACAACTTCCCAAAATTGTCCTTTGACCCTACATATGTGCCATTACATATGTGCACCCTACATATATGTGCCATTACATAAGTGCACCCTACACACATATGCATACAAAATAAATAAGATATAATTTTAAAATTTTAATGAGAACAGCTTTATTTAAAAACAAAAGATACTCATAGCCAGGCATGGTGGTACATGCCTTTGATCTCAGTCGCACTCAGGGAACGGGGCAGGTGGATCTCTGTGAGTTCAAAGCCAGCTGGACTACAAGAACTTATAGGATAATTAGGGCTACACAGAAAGACCTTGTCTCAGAAAGAAAAAGCAACCCAAAAGCTTACATATTATGTGCTGGCTGGGCACTGGCTGATGGGCTGGCCCTCTGACCTTCACAGACCACTGAATTGTTTAGGCCCAGTGAGGGCTGGTGTCTCGACTTGGGTTACTGTGTGAAGCCACACCTCAGTTGCCCCTACCTCCAGAGCCTGTGCCTTCTCCACTGTATCTCAGGAGAGAGCTACAAAAGCCCTTCCCCCACCTTGCACTTTAGAGACTGCAGAATGGTAAAGGGATGCGCTAGGACCATGACCAAAGCGGAAGTCTGCAGAGCCCAGAGACAACGGAGACCACTGCTGTCTCCCACAGAGCTGAAAAATTTATCTCAGCTCGCTGATGCTTCTATTTCTCTGCCCCCCCCCCCACCAGGGCTCAATCCCGCCTGAACCCAAAGACCCTCTCCCAAAGCCAATTAGAGCAGCCGCTCTAAGTGCCATTGCTAGGATACTGGACGGCAAGAGAATCTGAGCAGACAGCAGGAAATCCCACCCCAACCACCCAGGTCTGACAGTTCATTCTATCCCATGGTCAGAGGCAGCGGAAAGCGGACTCCTGGCCTAGACCTCTGTTCCCAGAGAATGATTTACAGGGTGAGATTAGAGGAGCTAATTTTGTCATCTAAGCATGGAATTTGGGACTTAACCAACTGCAGGCATCTCTACAGGCCCGCACCGTACTCATACACCCCCACCCAAAAGGGTCAAGCCCAAGTGCCCAGAATTGAGACAGCTGCTCCCTGCAGACCCAGGCCTGCCTGACCCCCAACCCAGTCTCTCTTAGTAGTCCCGAGCATCTGGGTGCATTTTGGTTGGTCAGGACAGCTTGAACAGCAGGAGGCTTACCCACAGCATAGCTGGCCAGGAGGAAGCCAACCGACCCAGCCAACACCTGGAAATCCTGCTTGCTGGTCTTGTGAACTATCAGCCCAATCCTGGTCACCTATTACAGTAAACACAGTGTGAAAGCTGGGTCCAGAGCTAGTGACCAGTCTGCACAGCCTGGGCATGTGCTGTCAAAACACAGCCCAGTACCCAGAGAGATGCCTGGAAGTCTAGGCCATGCCTCAGGGAGCCCACCCAACAAGCATGGTCTCAGCGCTACTCTGGGTTAGAAACTTCCATGCGAGAGCCAGAGAAAGAGGAGGTGGTCCCAGTCTGGGAGCTGCTGCCACTCACATCGCCACCACTGTCCTTTATGCCAATGATATTCGGGTGCTGAGACAACGTAACCACGGCATCCACAGGCAGGTCTAGCCCTGTGTTGGCTGGGACGTTGTACAACACCACAGGGATCGGAGAAAGATCTGCGACCTGTGGGGCACAGAGAAAAGGAGGAGGCGGCACCTGCCTGGGTCTGAGGGGCTGGACGGTGTCACTGCAGAACTGTGTGACAGGTCTGCCTCCTGAAGGGTTACAATGACAGGAAGTCTTTGAGTGCTCTCCATACAGCAGGCACAGCCAGAAGCTATGTATGCAGATCTCACGTAACCCTGAAGAAGCGCACAAGGCAGATGCCTTATTCACCGTTTTACTTTCTTAAGATCTATTTTTATTATTTTTAATCATGTGTATATATGTGGGTATATGCACATGAGTACTGGTGCCCTTAGAGGCCAGAGGCTTCTGATCCTCCGGAACTGGAGTTGGATATGGTTGCAAGCCACCCAGATGGGTGCCGGGAACTGAGCTTAGCCATCTGTAAGAGCACTGTAAGCTCTTAACCACAGAGCTACCTCTCCAGCTCCTATTCTTCCTGCTTTAAAGGAAAGGAAACTGATACGGAGAGGTTAGGGAAGTGGTCTAATGTCACACAGTTGTTACCTGATGGCTTAGACTAGGTCCTAGAGTGACTATTAACATGACATAGGCTCTCTGTGCCACTCCTAGCTTCTCCTTAGGCATGGCCTTCATCTTTGCCAACCTCTGCTTGGTCCCAGGTCTCTGAACCACACCCACCCCTGCCACCTACCTTGGTGTAGTGGTGAATGAGGGCAGTGCTGCTCATGCGGCCACGATAGTAACAAGGAGTGACCACCATGACTGCATCAGCGCCGACCTGAGCCATGCTGACGGTCATCTCTACCGTGGCTTGAGTGGCTGCAGTGAGGGAGAGGGGAGAAGGCAAGGGAAACAGGTCTCGGTGCACCCTGACAGGGGCAAAACCACAGACAGAACCCAACCCCAGGGCCCAGGAGCCTGGATCCCCCACAGCCCAGCAACCCCAGGTCCCCAGGCATCGTGTTCTCACATTCACAGCCAGAGCCGGCTATCAGGAGCTTGTCCTTGGGTATGGCCTGGCGCGCTCGGCTCACCACCTCCAGGCGCTCGCTGCTGGTCAGGAATGGAAACTCTCCAGTAGAGCCCTGGACCACGAAGCCTACAACAGAGCCCCATGACTGCAGCCCACCCATTCCTACCCTCTTGGGAGCATCAGGATGCTGGTATTGCAGTCCTCAGGGTTACTTTCCCACCAGGACTTTCCGCGCAGTCTTCCCATTCCTGTCCTGACATAAACACAGGGCTCTCAACAGATGCACAGCAGTGCACCCACCATTTTGCTTTGAGTGAGATACTTAACCGTACCAGAAAGAACAGCCTATAACATAACCTGCACCCATGTTCCCTGCGTCCATGTTCCCTGCGTCCATGTTCCCTGCGTCC